GGAAACACATAAATCCCTGTGTAACTAACTACTGCGATGGAACAAAGAAACAGTCAGCATTGAGGAAAAGGAACAGGTTAGGGGTGGCAATCAAAATGGAGTATGAGGTAAAGGAATAACTGACCACAAAAGTAATATTTAACAGAAGCCCGAAAAAGGGGCCCAGCTACCTGGAGATAGCAGAAAGGGAGTGTACAAGAAAGGCCAAGGGCTGGAAAGACCTGCCTTAAGGAAGTGGGAAAAAGGTAAAGGGTAGAGTCTGTCACTCAGAGGGAGACCCAGAGAGAGGAGCTTGTAGAACAGGCAGCCAGAGCTAAAGTAGGACTTGGACTGGAGGCAGTGAAATGGCGGCTGATGGCCCTAAGGAAGATTTGCCACCATCTTAGTCCCTAGAACTTATGATGTGGGTTTTGTAGGGGCAAAAGTGTTTTTAAAGTCATAATTTATGGTCTTTCTGAGTGGTAAATTTTTTGACAAGTGCCGTTAGAAGAAAAATACACAGTAGCTCATGCCTATAATGCAGCCTTGGAAAGGCTGAGGGAGGCCTGAGTGGGATACAGAGTGAAATACAGGCTCAAAAGCAAAACAAACAAACAGACCCCCCCCCCCCCCCCCCCCCCCCCCCCCCCCCCCGAAAAAAAAGAAAAAGCAGAGTCACCAGCTGCGCATGGTGGCACATGCCTGTGATTATTAGGGAAGCGGAGGATTACTGAGAGTTTAGATATGCCTGGGCTACCCTCAGATACCCAGTCCCCAATTCAAACAAGTAAGTCAGAAGCAGATAAGAGGAGGCAGACTGCAGGGAGGCGGCCACTGAAGAGGCACTGAGGGAGAGGGACTGGGACTACCCAGGGCCTTTGGAAGGACTGTTTTTTGTCAACACCTTGACCTCTGGCCATCAGAACTGTGAAGAATAAACTTCTGTTGTTTTAACTTTCTAAGTTTGTGGTACTTTGTTATGGCAGCTACAGGAAATAGAAGTGTGTTTGGGGATTTATTCCATGGCTCTTAAGATCTGATTTATGCTTCAAACTTCTCATGGCTACTGTGTGGAAACAAAACAGATAGTAAAGTCCTCTAGCGCTGTTAAAAAAGTACCCTCAGAGGAGGTTTTGTGCCTACAAGGGGGATGATCCTAAGCTAGACAGAGGGCTAAGACAGCTTTGGGAGTTTAAGTAGATAAAGGATATTTAAAGTTACAGGAAGGATATATGGTCAGGGAACAAGCAGAAGATTGAGAGCAAATGGCCAGTGTCTGATTCCTTCCTAGCTCTGAGCTTTTTAGATCAAGAGATAGGCAAAGAATCAAAGGCTGGAAGAGTGTCACTATATAGGATAACACAGAAGGCAAAGTCTATGGTGGAGCAAATGCTGAAGGGCAGGGTCAGCTGGGCAGACAGGTGGTGAACACTGAGAGCCAAAAGGAGCCTTTTCGGACATCTCCCATGCCTCTTCAGCAGCTCACTGTGTAGTCACACGCTGGATCTCATCAGTAGCAGACCCCATCACCTGCTTCCTAATCATGCAAAATTGCTTTCCTCCTTCATGACTCTGTCCATAGCTTTGGCTTGGAACTCTTGTTCCTGCTCATTGCCTTCACTGAGCTCCTCACAAGTGGGCCTTACCGTGCTGCTTGCAACTCACCACTCCCACATTCGTCCCTTCAGTTGCCAGGCAAAATCCAATTATCCTGGAATTCCTGAGATAATGTTTGAGCCATGACAGTCCTTAGCCACACCTCTTCACACACCATAAACCCATGGTCACCCACTTCACACTGACCGTCCCCCTCAACACACTTGCAAGGGATTCAAAAATATATTTAAAGGGAGGGGTTGGGAGGAGCTGAAAGGAGTAGAGGGAGGTAAAACTAATCAGGACGTAGTGTATGAGAAAAGAATATTTTCAATTAAAGGGAAGAAATTTTTAAATTTCATTTTATGTATGTGCATGTGATTTCTTTGCCTGATTCTCCACTTGAAGGCCTCACTTAGAAATTTCAGTTTTTTTACCATTAGCACAGCTCCTCCCCTACCTCACAGGTTGTATGGGTCAGATACTATTTGGGAAGGGGGGAGCACACATATGCACACCTATTTATGGAGATTAGAAGACGGCCTCAGGTATCATTCCTCTGGCCCCATTTCTACCCTGTGTGGTTTTATGTCTGTGATATGCAGTGTGTGTGTGTGTGTGTGTGTGTGTGTGTGTGTGTGTGTGTGTGTGTGTCATATGCATTTACTAGTTTGGTTGTGTGTGGGTGCATGAGTGTGCACATTTGTGTGAGGCCAGAGGCTGATGTCAGGTATCTTAATCTTTTTCCAGCTTTACTTTTTGACACAGGCTCTTTCACTGAACCTGAAGCTCATGGATTTGCCTAGGCTGGTTAATAAGCCTCCCTGCCCTGGGCTTGCAAGTATATGTCATTATGCTTGGGGTTTTTGTTTTGTTTTGTTTTAATGCGGCTTCTGGGGATTGTTGAACTTAGGCCCTCATGTTTGCAACGTTTGCAAGGTAAGCACACTTTACTGACCAAGCCAGCTCATCCGCCTCAGTACCTAACACAGTACTCTTGAATAAACTAAGTGCATAAGTGTTGGAGCAGAGAGGCAGCCATGACCAGAAGAGGGTAAACTGTGAAAGAAAAGAGATGGTGGCCTTCAAGGATTTCAGAGAACTCGGTGTCCCCAAGCAGTCAGAGCAAGTTTGAAGTGGTTAAGGAGGTCTCTGGTTATAAGGGAGATCATGTATCCGTGCTTCTCAGGCCCACGGGTCACGTTTAGGAAGGAGATAGAGCCTAGTACAGGGCTTTAGCCAAGGGGATAGGCAAAGCGCTGTGGAGTGTAAGTTGATGCCATGACTGATGAACATGGAGACTTAAGGCTTAGCTTCTGGCCAGACCTGGAGGGAGCCAAGGATGGGGCATGGAGGGACATGCGCATCTGTATCCCCTTGCTCCACTGCCTCTCCATCTCTGTCTCTCTGTCCCTGTCTCTCTTTACTGAAGTTTATTTTTAAAAGCACTCATACCTCCTTTAGACAGCAGAGGTTCTGTTTGTATGTTTTTTGTTTTTTAAACTCATCTAGAGCAGAGAAATTTTAATTTAGGTCCATTGCTTCAACTATGGTGCAGTGCTTGGATAGTACAGACAGATTCTGAGAATTTAATCTGTTTACATTTTCTACTTCCAGTTAGAATATGGTGATTTTTTTTTTTTTTTGTGCAATCCTCTTTCATTTGGGCTTATAAATGTGTATACCTAAAGATTACATTTTAGTTTTTTAATGATTGATAGAGAATGCCTTATCATTAATTTCTCTAGATTTGTTTATTTTTCCCTAAAGAAGGCAATTCATTGCTTTCTTTTTTGGCCCAAAGGCCACGCTGGAAATGGAGGAGCAGGTACAGAGTGGGCCTGCAAACTTGTAGTAGCAAAGAACAGAAGCAAAAAAATGTAGGAGGACCTCTGAAGTAATTGTGCAAAACTCAAGGCTTTCGATATGAAGGTTATTTGAATTACCAGGCTCCTCTTGACTACAGAATGAAATGACCTGAAAGACCATATAATTTAAACTTATAAAGAGAGATATGGGGCTAGTAAGATGACTCAGCAAGCAAAGATACTTGTCATGTAAGCCCTGCAATCTGAGTTCGATTCCTACGACCCACATGAAGGTGGAATGAGATAGCTGACTACACAGAGTTGCCCTTTGACCTCCATACTCACCCTGTAACACCTGTGCCCACAAATTGCACATCACACACATACACATACTAATACTGCTACTTACCCCAGCAATAATTGTTCTACAGATTAATCAGAATGATGTGTTTATATGATTATCATGCCATTTACATAGCAGCATGGAATAAAACCCAAATAGGGTAATA